CTCAGCATTGTGTCCCTGGAGTGAGGAATGAGGTCAAAATGTTTGGTGGTTGAATAACTGAATAGCTTGAAGTGTATTCCCCTGTCAGTTTATGAGTAAGAGAGGTAAATCCACAGTACCTAAGTCATGATGCTGCGTTGAGTCCTCCCGTTGGAGGAACACCCCCACCACCCTCATACATGAAGCTAGGGATGACCAACCTCCTAAGCTTGGAGATCCAAAATTAACCAGTCTACATATCTTCTAACTCCTTTTATAGGCATAGGGAAAACAAATATGAGGCAGAGGGGGGCATTTGTCAATTTCCCCACCCTCCATGCTACTTATGTTGCTATAACATTTATTTTAAAGTAGTTTTTGTGTCTAGTGTAAACACAAAATATAATACTGGATTGCTCCTTCCATGCAACAATGTTACAGAAGTTGTATCAAATACACTGCAGTTATTATCAGTTGTTTTATATTAAGACTAGGCAGAAAGAGAAGAAATCACAGTACTTGGAAAAGAAAAAGATTCTAAGAATCATTCTCCTTTGCAGATGGAATCTCAGCTAGTAGCACTAGGTTAAGGCTATGTTACATGTTGTATAAAAGTCTCATGTTTTGTGGTGCTTTAGAGTTTGTCAGTAAAGCTGGTCACCTTTTAAATATCAATATGAAATTGTACACATAAATATATATTAAGTCTACTTTAAAATCTGAGATTTGTCCTTTATTTTGTTGTTGATTAATATAAAAATGTAGCAGAATACTCAGCAGATACTGACCATCTCTTTTGTTATACTTTTTAAACTGCCAAAGACTTTTATTTTTTTAATAAGGAAGATAATTGCAGAATTTACTGCTCTGTCTAGATCAAGAAAATGCTATGTTCGATTTTTTGCCTCAACTGTTCACTCTTGAAAGAGAAAGAAATCTCATTTCATGGGAATCATTCAAAGTGTTAATAATCTGACTGCATCACTTTGCCTTCAAAATAAATAGTACAATATCCTTTTAATTATACATACACGGTGGCTTAAAAAGAGACAAATGACAAAGAAAAATCTGCATGATAAAAGGCTCCTAAAGTCGCAGCATCCCTTGATCAAGACTTAAGATGAAGTATTTGCTGCAAACGCCTTCCTCTCCTGCCTCTAAGCTGCCTTGAAACCCCATTCCACCAACGGTGTCCAACCAAATCTGGTCAGAGCCACTGCCACTGCCATCACCGTGTCATGGTTAAACGCAGACCTGCTGGGGTATGCCAAGCGGTGGGAACAAAACTGGAGCAAAACTAATCTCACGTGGAGGTAAAGTTAGCCTGGGTCACCATTCTGCTTCTCTGTCCTTCACTGCCCTTCAGTATAGTAAGTAGCACTTCCTTATTACTCATCGCTGTTGCAGTTATATAGGTGAGAAGAAAGCATTTAAGAACTGCTCTTTGAATAGAAGTCCAAGTCACCTGTTTCAATGGCTCGTTCAGTGCCTGTTAGAGTTGTGGAGGACTGTTGTGTTTGCTGCAGGCTCTTTAATTTGTGAACTTTAACATACGCTCTCAGATATCTCTCACGTTTTTGCTGAGACTGTTCTGTCTTGGTTTTGACTCTTTGTCTATAAATGCCATTTAAAGGCTGTTACTTTTTCCCTTTTTTTTTTTTTCCTAACAGTATCAAGGACAAAAATAAAGGCGAACTAATCCCCCCAGTAATGAAGGAAACTGTATCCTACCTAAAAAGAAAAGGTGAGTTTTTTGTCAAAAGAGGATGTGTCTTTCAGAACAGGGACAATAATATGAAACTGTATAACGTTCAGTGCTTGATTCAGCAAAGTTTACAGCTACACAGGCTGTGTTTGTATCCTGAAAAACTGAGTGGCAGTTGCGCGCTGCCTTGAGAGCTTTGATGGATAGGGAATACTTATTATGAGGTTGTCCTGCTGTGAAAAAAAAAATCAAAACTTTTTGCCCTTAGGATTGGATTAAGGAATAGCAAATGAGAGAAGATGTCTTGAAATACACATTGTCAACCCATACCATATTGTTGGTTTTAAGTAGAACTCTAGAAGTTCTATTTTTATAGAACCAGTGGCCATAAAAACCCATTAAAAAAAACATATTTTGCAGGAGTAAGCCTGAAGTTCTCCCTTCACAAAATATTTTTACTGGCATTTACAGACCCTTTGACTGCAGTTCATATCCATGGTTACATTGTATAGAGATACAGATTACAAAGGCACATATTTAAAATGGGAGCATCCACATCGAAGTTCCCTATATTGTCTTCACATACAGAGCAAAGAGAAGGTAGACTCTGAACCACTTGCTACACCACTGAGCTCCCCAGTGCATACCTGGCCAACAGAAAGGACCAAATATCAGGTGCTATCTGTAGGGTAAGTGCACCGTATTCCCTACGTAGGGAGAAAGTCAGAGATAAGGCTGCCGTCTTGAAATTCCTTTTCCCAGTGTAATGTGATTTTACATTTTGATCCCTGATTTTTAAGGCGATCACAGCAATATTTTCACAGCTCTTTGTGCTCCAAGGCCTCAGAGTTTCACAAATGTTTGCTAAATCTTACCATGCTAAATCTATAGTCTAGGTACATTTGTTTTACAGGTGACAGAACAGAAACAGAGCATAAAACAGTTATGTGAATGGCACAGCATTACACAGTGGTAGAACTGGGAATGATTCCCAAGATCCCTGAAAGAAGGGTGTGAATTTTTAATAGGTGTGTCAATACAGGCAAGTGAAGAAAATCAAAATGTGTTTGGTTCAGTTATTTGGAAAAAAAAAAAAAAGGAAACATCACTGGTGTTTAACATACCGTTAAGTTGGGTTAATATTTGAACAAATTTTGAGCATCAGCGTGATTTTAGTTAAACAAAAAAGACTCAGATCTCTATATTGTTGTTAAATGAGTTTCACCTGAGATTTTACTTATTTAAAGAGCTATTTGTATTGACAGCACACAAATAATATAAAATATAAATTTTGAGTGAGTTATATTCTTCTGTAGACAGTCACCCACAACCTATATCCCACAATATTCCCAATTTTTAATTTACACCTGTCATTCTGAACAAGGTACATTTTGCTTTCAGTATTCAGACAGTATGCAACATTGATCTCTGTTCATTTTAACTATTGCCACGAGGGTTTGGTCTCAGTTTCAATTTATTTGAATCCTAAGTAAGAAATTTCAAACTTTTAAAAAACTTGTACTGAATAGCCTGCACATTTGTGAAGACGGAGTGGGGGGAGGGGCAGGGGGGCAAGAAAAACATTGCTTCTCAGCCTTTATTGCTGATTCTCAAGAGAAATCATGGCTTCATTTAAACCAGTGCAACATCACACTGATTTAAATGAGGACAGACTAGAGGCTTTGTGTCTTGCCCTCATTGCTAGGCTATGCTCCTTTTAGCTTCCCCTTGTGGTAAATAAGAACATAAAATAACTGCCCGTTTTATTTTTGTTTGGGTTTCATTCCTTGAGTGAAGCTGAATAATGATATGAATAGGAGAATGAGAGAGATATCCACTGCAGTTGATACCTCCTTACGGTTTGCAAGCAGTGGAGCATAGCATCTATAGGGATGCTTGTGTACAGAACAGCTAGCTCCTCGCCTCTTGAAATTGCTGATTTATCTTCAAAATACCTGCAGCAGCCAAGGCCAAGCGCTGGAGTGGGGCCAGTTCTGCCATTAAAAGTATCAACTGATCTGCAGTAGATGAAGAGTTCCTAATAGACTTTACTGAAGGACTCTCAGTCCAAATTCAGGATTTCCTTTCAAGCTCATAAAGCTGTTTGGATGTGCTATTTCCAGACTGGTGCTAATGATGAAAACTTTGCAGGTGTAGCTTGTGTCAAATATTATGGTTGGATACAGGGAATGTAAATAGTTCACTACCGAGAATGTTGAAGGCAAGTGACTGGCAGCTTGAGACAATCCCTGTAATTATAATTGTAAGTGGATAATTAGAGCTTGTGTAGTGTATCAGTGCATGCCCCATCTGCAGATGACTGCCAGACTTTTTTGTGTTTTAAATTGTTATGAAATGATCATCCTTCCATATATTTAGCTTATCTTAATAGGCAAATACCTCTTCCTTGCTAATCACAGGAGTCAAGAGAGCTAAAATGAGGATGAATGTGCACTAACACCATTACTTCTCACAGCTGTTATTATTTAGAAATTGAGTGAAAATTTAGTCAATAAAATGTTAATTGATTTAAACTTTTGGCTGTGCTTGGGAGGAGGGCTTTGCATAGTTGGCACTTCCTTGGACCTATTCAATGATTTTAAAGAAATAGGAGGTTTATGGCCATCATTATATCGCGCTAGTGACCAGTAACTAGTAATTCTTGCACTGATCTAACACAAAACCTCCTCCATATCTTGCTTTTATTCTTTCTCAGTGTTTTGCCTCATCACTATTGCAGCAGTCCCATACTCTTCCTTCTGAACAATTGCTGAGTCCAGCTCAGATACCCACAGGTTTCTAAAGTAGCTACGCCAACTGCACAGTAGAGGGGGAAAAATAACAAGTTTTAGCTCTCATGGCTGTGATAAAAGAAAAGTTTGGCTCAACTTTGTCTTTGCAGAATTTCTCCTAGCTGAAATGTTTGTTATTCTGAAAGCAGTAATCATCCTTGGGTTTTCTCCAAACTTAATCTCTTTTTGGCTAAAAATTCATCTGTTCAGTGCTGTATCAGCACAGTTTGTAAAGGATAGTCTCTGAGGAAATGTCATGATACTTCTGAACAAAGCCCTTGTCCTACTTTGTGCATCTACACAAGTCAGTGGCATGGTAACACTGGCCACCGATACGTAGTCCAGCCCATGCACTTGCTAGCTGGACTATCTCTTTTTTTCCCCAGCTCTCTGTCTTTCTGTGTCCCCAGGAAGGAAAGGCACGGGCTCTGTAAACGTTGTTATTTTCCAACCAAGCCCAGGTTTGCTTGGAGCTGTCATATTCCCTATCATAAGGAGATCTCCACAAACCAGATTTCGAAGGGGAGATGGCTTGTCAGGTAGAGTGTTTTCTGACATTCTCAGCCAGCTGATGCTTGAAAGCCAAGTACCTGCCATGCCAAGGCTGTTAAGCAGTAGGTGATAGACATGCATTTTTTTGCACTTGATTATGAGTGTGCAGGTATCTGTTGTACCTGCTGTCTGCTATGATTTTAACTCTTTCTCTAAATTGGGAATATCTCAATTCTGCCATCAGTTTCAGCGAGTGTCAGTTCCCGTGCTGACAGCCCCGGGAGGCTGACTGGCAGCGTTCTTTGCACTCCAGACGCGGCCGTGAGCACAGTGAGAGCTTCAGTTCATCTTCCGGAAGTGACAAAAATTCACTGTCATTACCCTATTGATTTTGGCATAGTTTCCAGCCCTGCTGAATTAGTAGGGAGTGGAGTTTGGTTTTCGCCCTAGGTGTGC